CTAAATGATACTCCCTCCGTCCCACTTTGATAGTCTTGTTTTCCTTTTTCGTCTGTCCCAAATTGTAGTCCACTTTCCCATTAAGAAATGTAGTAATCTTTTAAATTGTCTAAAATACCCTTATTAAATATCTTGTTATTAATACATTGTTATTAAATACTAACCCACTACATTGGATACATTGAGTTTTTCCAATACTAACTCATTAGCTGTAACTGATATTAATTGGCACTCTTCGTGATTAGCATAAGGGTATTTTAGGAAATTATTAATCTAAATTTATGTTTCCAACCAAATTAATTACACTTTCTAAATTTGTGTGAAAAAAAAAAAATCAAGACTAACAAAACGGGACGGAGGGAGTACATATGTTTGGCTGATCTAGGTGACCTGGGTGCACTTGGGAGTTGGGACAGGCTGAAAAAAAAAACCAGATTTGGATAAAATTGTTATACTAAAATCGTCTAAACACAAAACTCAAAAATGCATATCCAATCAATGATACTAAAAACTTTTCCCTGAGTATTAAAAAGAAAAAAAATTCGTGATACTAATGAAGTTTTGATATGTATATCGATGTACTGTATGTACATTCCATGGCGGAGTTCCAGACTAGATTCTTCACATTTTTGTCATTTGATTTAACTTTGGCCAGTTCGGCAAGTAATTAAACGGGAATGAGTGAATGAATCAATATAAATCATAATGTAGATCAGCATTTGCACAGATATCAAGGCAATGCTGCCGTAGTGAGTGTATCTACTGTGCCATATTCCTCTCTCTCACTTTTACTCCTTTTTTGTCTCATACTTTCTGCATTTCTTGCTCACAGCCTCACACCACCTCTCGGTTACACAACAAACTCCTCTGTTCTCAGACCATAAAAAAGGTTGAAACTGAAATCCGTGGATGGATTGATTATACAGATTGAACCCATCATCTACTCCTTTTATTTCCTAGTCTGTTCAGCTTTCATTTTTATTGCTTAAAAAGAACATTTTCTCAGTCTCAAGTCTTTTGCTTCTTTCATGAAATAACCGAGAGTTTGGGGTGCTTTTTTCAGTGTGAAACTGGAATGGTACTTTTACAAAACCAAAAAGCTCAGAACTTTGGAGTCATTTTCAAGTGAGCATTTTCTTATTTATCAAAAGAAAGGCTTTTTTAAGTGGATTTTGGTTTCTTGGAAGACATGCTGCTCCAGCCTCCAGGCTTCTCAAAAGGGTTGCTTTGTTTTGTGCTGCATTTGCTCTTCTGAAGTTTGAGGCCAAAATTTGAGTGCAAGAAGATACTGCAGAGGTTTGATTTCTTGGTTCTTAGCTCATTTCCTTTTCTGGGTTCTAATTTGTTTTGTGAAATTTTGGTTGGCAAGTGGAGCTTGTTTATATGAATGAAATGTCATTAGTTACTGAAATAGGATTGGTTTATAGGCTCTGAGAGAAATGTGCTATGGTTATGCTGAAGAACAGCCAAAAATGTTGGTTTCTTTGATAAAGTGGTATGCTTGATTTGATGGTAAAAGAGAGATGGGTGTAACAAACTCAAAAGAGGGGAGGAGTGAAGCTTTAAGACTATGCAAAGAAAGGACAAGATTTATCAAACGAGCTATTGATTCAAGATATGCTTTAGCAGCTGCTCATGTTGCTTATGTTGAATCATTAAGAAATATTGGGAATGCTCTTAGAAGATATGCTGAGGCTGAAGCACTTATAGAGTCCTCTATACCTACTTCAGCCACTGAACTGGAAAAAACCCCTTCACATTCTTCGTATCTGTCGCCCTCGCCATCTCACATTGGGGGTGTTTCAGGTTCTCCAGTGCTTAATGGGAGCCCCCTTTCACCACCCAATGCTAGGATTAGTTATATGATGTCAGGTGGGACGAGTGCTGTGACTGTTAGGATGATTCCAAATTTACCAAGGAATATGTATGTGGGTGATGATGAGTACGTGACGCCTCCACCACCACCGCCTCCACCTCCTGAATCAGGATCTTCTTGGGACTTCTTTGATCCAATTGATGATTCTGAGAGCTTTAGATTTGTTGGGGATAACAATCTGCCTCTGGATTTCGATGATGTGAAAATGCATGGTGTTGTTGGGGAAAAACATGTGGGTTTTAATAGCAACAATGAAATGGATGAAGTGTTCGTGACACCAAAATCAAAGGTGCAGAGCAATAGCAAGTTGGTTTTGTACAATGGGAACTCATCTATACCTCAAAGGACTCAAAGTAGTCCTCAGCCAGTAGTTGATACTGAAGTTAAGGATATGAACATAGAATCAAAAAGGAATGGCTCTGTTGGAACATCAGTGGGCAAAACAGGTTCTGAGCAGTTAATCTCCAGGAGAGATAAGTCTGCAGTGGGGAAGGACGTGTGCACTGACAGAGAGGATCCTTCAGAGTTCATTACTCACAGGGCTAAAGATTTTCTGCCTAGTATAAAGGACATTGAGCACTGGTTTTCCAAAGCATCTGAATCAGGGAAAGGAATTTCTAGGATGCTTGAGGCGAATAAAATCCAAGTTGGATATGCTGAAGCTAAAGGTAACTATTTGTTGGTGATATTGACATGTTTATTAACTACTTTTTAGTAAAGTAACATTTGGATTATTGCATGTGCCTCTTCTTATGGCAAATTTTCTAGTTGCAAATGCTGAGCTTACATTATTCTTGTAGGAAAAGCAACAGTTGCAGTTTATCTGGCTTCTTTCAAAACAGCTTGCTGCCAAGGGAAAAATGCAAACGTATCTGATGGTGAGTTTTTATTTACTTTTTCTTTTTTCTAAGAAAACATTGTTAACATCAATGATGTTATGGAATTTCATTTGTAATTTTCCACTAAGCAAAGTTTAGACATTGAGAAGGTTCTAATTAAATAAGGTCGTGTGTTGTTTGAGATAGGTCGCCGGCACTTTTAAGTATACATTCTTGAATGCATACTATTTGTTTATCTGTGCTCCATCCCCAGCCATTATGACAATGTGATTGTTCCTTTGGACTTGGAGATATGATAAAATAAGGTTTGGTGTCTAGTTCAGCAAGAATTCCTTAGATTTATATAAATTGCAACAGTGGTGGAGCTTTTCTTCATCGATGAGTTCAAGTTTGTAGATTTTAAGGTAATGATGACAAAAGAGAAGGTTTCTTCACAAACATGTGTGATTGACTATGCTCCTTTTTATTTATTTTTTTAAAAAACTTCTTATACTTGAGCAGATCCAGAGCAGCATGCAACAAAGATTATTACGTGGAAGCGGACAACATCTTCAAGGTCCTCTTCTTCAAGAAATCCTCTTACTAAAGATGACAATGACGGTAGTAGTAGTGACTTCATGGAGGAGTACTGCATGGCTGCTGGAAGTCATTCTTCTACCTTGGATAGACTCTATGCATGGGAGAGGAAGTTATATGATGAAGTCAAGGTACATCTTTTGTGTTGCTTTTGTCTGTCTCTGTTGAAAAATTCTCTTGTTATGTTAAATCCTGTAAGTTCTCAAGGTTTTTCCCTGTCAACAAGTTCATGATAATTCTTGTTGTATAGACTCCTTAGGTTATCAAGTTGGTTCATGTACTGAAGTTCAAAGTCTGTTGAATGACATGGCTTTAAATGGCATATTGCACTTGCTGATTCAGAATGAAAATTGGTGTAGATGAGCATACATTGTTTTCTGTCTTTTGCTACACTTCTTTGGCTCTAATAAAGTTAATTCCCTTTTTTTCCTTGCGAACTTCTTTGATGCTTAAAGCTCCTGCATCTTCAACTTTTCATATAACTTGTACTTTGATCTTTTAAGTCATATTATATCAGTTTTCCTTTGATATTTCATTTGCATCAAAATATGAAGGTATGTACATACGTTCTTCTAACTTCTTTTGGTGGTACATCTAAGCAACTTATCTAGGATGAAATCTTCAGATGGAAGGCAGCAGGTGTGGGAAAAAGCAAAATAATAGTGACAAAAGAAAAACACAAACACAAAAGATAGTACAGTCAACTTTAAAGGACTTTTCTGTTTGTTCTTTGTCATTAGGTGTTGCTTTCCCAGCCCCTTAATTGTTGAATTATCAAAATTATTTCCTGCCAAAGCCTAAAGTAGTCCCTTTCTCCTTCAGCCTTCCTTAAGTAAGAGATTAATAGCGTTTAGACACTTATAGCATTTTGGAGAATGGGGCTTGTCCTTTGATGTCAATGGAGTGTCGTACCATTATTTTTCCATGATGGTATAATCGAAGATTGAGACACCTTTGAGAAGTAAAGTTATATGAAAATTTCATTGACTAAACAACAGAAATGTAGTCCTTAGATATTCTTTGGATGTTTGGGTGTCTTTGGTTCTTCATACATACATATATGTAAAGTTTTTTCTAGTGTGTTCTTTTCCTTATTTTCAGGATCGCGAAAGTGCAGTGTCAATATAAACTAATTGAACCAAAAACATTTCTCGTTTAAACAAAAAATTGGTATAGTCGCTATGAACTGAAGCCAGAGTATTATATGGTCGATTAATATTTGACAAATCGCTGAGGTTCTTCCTCTAACTTTTAGGGTCAGTGAATAATATTTTAAAGGGTAAAATACAGAAAACCTCCTTGTGGTTTGACTATTTGACATGCTACCTCCTCATTATTTAAAAACACCCACACTACCCCCTCGTGCTTTGGACTAAAGTGAAATTTGACCGGTAACCTGTATGCTACCTACAAGTGATGTATTATTATTTTTTTAATGTTTTTTATTTTATTGTCATTTTTCTTTTAATTTTGGTGCTTTGACTTAATTATCATTTGTATTTTTACAAATTTTATAATTAGTGATGCACTTTTAAAATTTTCTAAAAATTATTCATACCCTCTCACTTTTGCTCCGCCATCTTTCTCTACTGATTAGTCGCCACCACCACACACGACTTTGTCTTCAAAGATTCTTCCAAAACAATGGCTCCAAAATCCAAATTCACCCAAATATCCGAGAAAAAATTTCATGAATTTCATAAGCTTCCATCATAAAATTCTTGAAAAAGTGGACAAATCAGATGAGCGAAAATAGCATCCCCTTCAAATTGAAACACAAATCTTGGGTCTGGCTCATCTCTCAGCTCTCACGTCTACGTGCAACTCAACCACTTTTCCCCTCCCACCGCCCACCGTACTAATCCATCCATCCTGAATCACGCACCCTTTATTACTATGCTCCGTTGCCTTCAAGTCCAGCTGCACCAAAACACTGCCCAAAAATTTCCCACCCAACTTCCACCCGCAAGCTGCAGAAGTATTCCCTCCTTTTCCCGTATATATCTCAATCTTCAAACCACAAGTCCTACCTCTGGCAGCCAATTTCTTAACAAGCTTCTCAAACTCCAACTTCTTGAAGTTAAACCCAGCATGAATCCTGCTCTCAATTGCATTAGTACCACTCTCCTGAGAAAGCCACGGGACTGTCGAATACTGCATTGGGAAGCCTTTGAGCTTGATTTTACAGTAACACAGGGTCATGGTGGTCGTTGACTTAGACCAAGAGGATGGGGGAGAAAGCCTCACCGCCAAGTTTCCAATCACAATTTGGACGAATGGACAAGGATCCATTGTTTTGGTCCGTCTGGAAAAGAATTGCAGGATGTAGAACGCAGTTGATGAATAGGAGAGGCGGTGAGTGGGAACGGTGTAGATATAAGGGATGTGGGGATGCAGATTACGGAGGCGGAAGATAAAGATTAAAGAAAGAGAAGAAATGTTAAGAACGGTTTTAGACTACAATTACAAGTCCTCTTCTTCTTTCTCCCCGAAACCGTAGCAAAAATGAGACCCGCCTGTAGAATTCCTCTACCCAATTTTTGGGTCTTTGATGGCTGATCCGGTGGTGCCCTTTTTTACCGTGGGGGACTAGATCTGTAGCAATACATAAAAGTACAAACTGACCCACTACCTCTCATATTATGGTACTCCAAATTTGCAGGATTTTAGACTTTGGGTGGAGAGGATGGTCGTATGAAGTGGTGGTTCGGGCGGAGATGGGGATGGTGGTGTGAAATGGTAGTGCAAAGTTCTAGTGGAGGGGATGGTGGTGTGAAATGGTGGAGGGGGGAAGGGGAGCAGGAGAGAGGAGGAAAATGAAAGAAAATGTGAAAATGAAAAAATGAGCAGATGCCAAGACCCCCTTGCTTCGATGTTGTGGGTTGTGGAGAATGTGGAACGGAGGAAGAAGGAGACGAAGAATAGAAAAAGAAAAAAAAAAGGAAAGGAAAAGAAAATAAAATGAAAAAGAAAAAATTAATAATAGACAGACTACCGATTCAATAGCAGCTCAAAAAGCGTAATTCTACTCTAGTCCAAAGCACGAGGGGGTAGTGTGGGTGTTTTTAAATAATGAGGAGGTAGTGTGTCAAATAGTCAAACCACAAGGAGGTTTTGTGTATTTTACCCTATTTTAAATTTAATTGGGCAACAACATAGTCTCGATCTGTTTTATTTGGAGTGTCATTTCTCTTATAGAGATTGACATTCAATTTTTGCAGGTTCAGCATATAAAACTCGGTGCTATGTCCTAAAGCATCATCCAAGACTCTTCTGTCCTCTTCTATTCCACAAATCAAACATTTTGAAATTCCACCAATAACCAATAATTATTTCTTATTAGTTAATTTCTTACTTACACTATCAAACATCTGATAATTGATTTACCCTCTACATTTAACTAATTTAAAGATCATGTGACACTCTTTTGAACAAGATTATCTGTCAGTCTAACCAGTGGATCACCCTATGATCAGAGATTTGAGTAAACTAATCTAATTCAATTGGGTTTAAACATGACTGCAGCTTGGTATGGAGTAATTTCACTATGTGAAAATGATTTTAAGTTTCCTATGGTATTATGCGAAGGACGGATTCACTTGCATGTGGTATAACATCTGAATTTCAATGAATTTTTTGCTTCGGATGAATGATATTAGCAGATTGCAACATAGCTTCTTAGATTTCATTTTCAGATTGGAGCATTCTGTCCTATAGATGTATTTTGAACCTCACTTCTTTTTCAATTTACCTTTGTAGGCCAGTGAATCTATCCAGAAGGAGTATGACCGAAAGTGCAACCAGCTCAGGCACCAATCTGCAAAGGATCTTAGTGCCCAAGTAATTGACAAAACCCGAGCTGTGGTAAAACATTTGCATTCACGAATTACAGTTGCCCTTCATGCTGTTGATTCAATCTCAAAGCGGATTGAGAGACTGAGGGATGATGAATTATTGCCCCAACTTTTGGAACTTATTCAAGGGTGAGATTCCTTCTGCATTACCTTTGCTTTTAAACGTATAAAGTTTGTACTTTGTTGGTTTTCAAGATCCTTTCGGTTGGTACATGAATCACGAGTACCAGCTCTCCAGTTATTTGAAGACTGGAACTAAATTTAGTTGGTTTAGGACTCTCATAGTTTGAATTTTGTCATTGGTGTTCCTTAGCAGATTAATCTGGATGTGGAAATGGATGCTTGAGTGTCATTATACACAGTATATAACCATCTCGTTAGCATACCATTCAAAGACCTCGGGAGGGACTGCCCAAGGAGATGCGCACAAGGATATCATGTTGCAGCTGCTACATGAAGTAGAATGTTTTGGCTTGAGTTTTGCTGATTGGATCAACAGTCTCACATCATATGTAGAAGCTCTAAACAGTTGGCTACAGAACTGCATCTTGCAGCCTCAAGAAGGATACAAGGGCAGAAGAGTATTTTCTCCTCGTCCAGTTTTAGCACCACCAATATTCGTACTCTGTCGTGAGTTGTCTGCCGGCATCAAATGTTTGCCATCACAAGAACTTAGTGATGCAATCAGAGCCTTTTTATCTGATCTTCGCCACTCAATTGGACATCAAGCTGATGAACCAGCCCAGAAAGAAAACATGCCCGAAGCTGGCAATAATGGAGAATTGGAGTGCAACAATGACGAGAAAATTGATGACAGGTCTGCAAATTTGAATTGCTTACAAACAAGTTTGGCAAAGGTATTGGACAGTCTAACCAAGTTTTCTGAGGCTTCACAGAAAATGTACGAGGATGTTAAGCAGAAAAGTTTGACAGCTATAAATGCATATTACAATTACAAGCCACCACCAAGGTCACATACCATATGAAGTATATTTTGTGTTTGATTGTAACCAACAGCTTGGTGAGAATAGGAACTAATGAACAGGAGGATGGAATTCTTATCTTTTACATAGCTTAACTGGATGGGTAAAAGAGGACCTGTGTTTCAAGGCATTGTCCAGATCCTTGTATTTTTGTTCATGTCTAAATGTTTTCCTGTTCTGATTTCTTTCTTGGTGATTAGATTGTGGACTTAAATCTTGGTCTGCATGCATTCAGCTGGATGCATAAGCTACGATACCAGGGCAAAGGTTTCTGGTCTTTTGCAACTAGGTGGTGGCAATTAAGGAGCCTTGATCAGCATAACTGTGTTGTAACAACAGTATCCCAAAAGAGAAGCAGATTGAACCAACAGTGTTCATGTCGTATGTAGTTCACATTTGATAGAAAGTTTGTGAAACTGAAATAATACGGGATGACTCCAAATACGCTCGAAACAGCAACTGAAGTGGCATATGAACCCCAACATAGCACAATTTCGAAATGGCATTTCATCTATTTGGCTTCCTCAGTTATACAGAAAAAAAAGTGGAGGAATCAAATGAGACTAATCCTTGCTGTTAATGGTATTGTAAATCATTTCATCTCATTCATAATCAGTCATGTGCTGGCAACCGCATCATCTGATAAGATTAAATTGTCTATGGTAACCTAAATGAAGTCATCAAGTTTCTCTTGTCCAGAGAGCCAAATTAAATAGATCAGAAGCTGTCGCATGTGGATTTCCTTAAAGAACAAACACTTTCAGAGACAGCAGTTCGTTACAAATTGGTGACATCAAGAATGTTTCTTGTATAGGAGATTCACGTTTAGATATTCTTTGTATACGCAAGTTACAATTATCTATCAAAGGATCAGCATTTCTGCTTAAGCATCAATCTGCTATCTCACGAAATTCGAAATTTCGAGAAAGTAAGATGAGGCTAGATAGCGGTAACCACTGTTCATATTTTTATTCCTCGAAGGAACAACAAAACTATGACTCCGACTTCTTCCTTTACAGGGCAGATCAAGAACAGGGGAAAGTAAAAAGGACCCAGCTCTCTCTCTGGAACTAGAAGCCAACATGTTGAGTATACTGTGAATAAGCTTCGCCTGGAGTCTGCAATCCAATTGGTGCCCTGATGACATAATCTGGAAGATCAAAGGCGTCAACAAGTTCCCTTGCAATATTCCTGACTTGGAAACACACGTACTCTGTCAACTTGTGAATGGCCTGCACAAATATGGCATCCCATAAACATGAGTAGAAGTATATCAAATCAGGAAATGCAGCATATTATGGACAGTATAAATGTCATTATGTGACATCAGTCAGAATGAGTAACACACAAAGACACTAGAACAGGGTCTCTGAAAAGATAGCTTGATAGATATGAATTCTTCTCCGATGGACAAATAATCATCATGAAAGCATGCAATTTTCTTAATCATGGTTATCATCTGAAACAGCTTTAATACCTTAGCTTTGTTTGGGGCCACATAGTCCACATTGCGATAAGTCCCTATATCATTCCAAATTCTATCTAAAGCGTAAAGATCACAAACGAGCTTCAGAGCACTTCGGGAACCTTCATCAGGACAGCTGAAGCAAAAGGCAGCCAGAGTCAAACTCAATTATTAAGAGGAAAAGGGAAGAACTGAGGGCTAGAAATATAGGTACCTTCGCACTGCTTCAATGAATCTTTCAAGAATGACAGATTCAATATGGGACTCAGCAAGCGTCAAAAGGTGATTCAAACATCTATTCCAAGCACCAAACCCTCCAAGTGTTTTAGAGTGTTTCTGAAGTCGGGCAGCAACACTTTGAAGCAATCGAGATGTACGATACTGCACCAAAAATGTTACATCAACTACAAGGTATTGGCATTCTATCCATTTCCTGTTTTACATCAGATAATCAAACTCACTCTGAAGGCATCCAACTGGAATTTTGGATCCCGCAGATGGTCTTCACCTTCCCATCTGGAAGTTACTGGGTTAGGCTGAGAAAGATAAGTGTTCATGGACTCTTTCAAATAGTTCCATGTGACAGCAAGTGATCCCCCCCGGAACTTCTCTTTATACTGCTTCAATAAGTCAATCGCCACCTGAATTACATTAGAAATTTGAATAAACAATTCCACTAGATATTAATCACCATCTAAGAGGCGTCTTTCAGGATAGTTCAATCATAAATTTTGCTGAGGAAAAAGCAGAATCTTAGTCATCAAAAAGCAACAAATTAGCAGAACAAGTTACCTACCAATCCACTGAGATGTGCTTCACCATCTATAAACAAGAACGGGTGGATATATAAGGTAGGGGTAATTTAAAAGCCTCAAATAAAAAACACTCTACCACCTAATCCTGCATAATATGATCTACTAGCACAGGCCTGACCATCTTTCAAGTGGATGTGATGAACTGTGAGAGTGAGACTTAAGAATGTCATGTTTCAACACAATTTAGCACCTCAACTTACTAAAGCCCGCTCTCCAATCAACTATTGCAGCAAGATTCCTCAAAGACTCATGATTTAATCTATTACAGTGCAGAAGGTCCTTATCAGCATATAGATGTCTCAGTGTCCACGAGAATCAGAGTGCATATATCAGAAGAGAGCATTATAAAAATAGATTGAGATCCAGATAAAACCTGCTGAAGAAGAACAGTGTTATCCCCTTCAAATGTCTGGAATATATCATGATCATTTCTCAAGCTACCAAACCTATTTACAGCAGCATAACCATGGCCTCCACAAGCTTCTCTACATATGTTCAACGACTTCGCAGTATAAGAGGTAACATAGGCCTTGAGTCCAGCAGAGAGTGCATGGACATCCCCAACCGACTCTTCATCACCTGTCTTCTTCATTTCACAATATTTATCCACCAAGTGAAGTGTGGCAAAATGGAATGCATAAGTTGAAGCCAGCATTGGCATTAGCTTGTGCTGATGAGACTGATAATCAAGTATAGTAATCTCAGGTTGCTTGGGAGGACCAAACTGCTGGCGCAGTAGAGAATACCTTATAGCAATTGTGGCAGCAATCTTAAGGACACCATTTGAAGAATATGCAAGGACGACTCTTCCTCCTACAAGTTCCCCTAATGTAGCTCCAAATCTTTTACTGATACTAGGCAGGCTGCTGG